ACTAAATAAATATTTGACTATGAAAATAAATTATTGAGAAAATAAAAATAACAAATAAAAGTCTGGCTTTTCTAGAAAACATGAAGAGCTTGCTCTTATTTTGATACATACAAACTTATATGTACCCCCACTTTAGCATATATTAGCTTAAATTTAACTGTTTTCAAGTCTTTTTTTTCCCTTTTTTTCAAGACTATGGATATTTTGTGAGAAGAGCCAACTCTGTATTTCTTTTTTATTTTTCATTATAACTTTTATTTTAGGTTCAGAGGTGTGCGTGCGGGTTTGTCATATACTTAAACTGCATGTCCTAGGGATTTGATGTACAGAGTATTTCATCACTCAGATAGTAAGTATGGTATCCAGCAGGTATTTTTCTAACCCTCTCCCTCTTACCTGCCTCCACCCTCAAGTAGGCCTTGTTGTCTGTTGTTCTGCTCTTCGTGTCTATGTTTTCTTGTTGTTTAGCTTCCACTTATAAGTCAGAACATGCGATATTTCATTTTCTGTTTCTGCATTAGCTTGCTTGAGACAATGGCCTCCAGTTCCATCCATGTTACTGCAAATAACATGATCTCATTCTTTTTTTCTGGTGGTGTAGTATTCCATGGTATATATCTACCACATTTTTTTTTTAATCCAGTCTACCATTGATGGGTATCTAGGTTGATTCCATGTCTTTGCTGTTGTGAATAGTGCTACAATGGACATATGCTTGCATCTGTCTTTATGACAGAGCAATATATATTCTTTTGGGTATATATCCAGTAATGTGATTGCTGGGTCAAATGGTAATTCCGTTTCAGGTTCTTTGAGAAATTGTCACACTGCTTTTCAGAGTAGCTGGACTAATTTACAGTCCCACCAGCAATGTATAAGGGTTCCCTTTTCTCTGCAACCTTACCAGCATCTGCTATTTTTTGACTTTTTAACAGCAGTCATTCTAACTGTTATGAGATGGTGTCTCACTGTGGTTTTGATTTGCAGTTCTCTAATAATTAGTGATATCCAGCATTTTTCATAACTTTACATTTCTTTATGAATTCTTATCACCTAAAAGATACCACACATTTAGCAGGTGTTCAGAAAAAATGTGTATTGAAAGAGAGAGATAAAAGAAAAAAGTTAAAGCAAATAAAGGAAGATCCAAGAAGCTTATTAACGGTAATATTTTCACATATTTGCTGTGAAGTATGAGACAAAGGTTAGGGAATAAAAACAGCTCTTACTACGCAGCAAAAGTATGTATAGATGTTGATACTTTTTCCTTCACCTCTGTTGGTATAATTGCAAAACTTTTAAGTAGTTCAATAGGGAATTCAGGTTTACTATATACTTTGTTGGGAGAAAAAAATGTGAGATAGTTTATTTGTAGCTTTGTCTGGATAAATTATATATTCTACTCTTGATACTGATTATTGCAAAATAATCCTTATGCTATAGTGTGCTAAAATATTAGTTGGAAACTAATTGCTGTGAACTTTTTATCTGCACCCGATGAGCTTCCTACGAATTATTAAAAGGCTAAGCAGGGCAAAATTGTTTAGTTAGCAAATTAATCTATAATGCATAAAATGCAAGCTTCTGCAAAGCTCAACCTTTTGGCTAAAGATTTTAGGTCACCACATTCCATATTTTGATCTCCATGACATTCAGATAACTGGTTTAAATGTTAAAAATTCAGTCAATGCTGAAGTTGTTTATACCTACCTCATGCCAAACATCTAGTTTGACATTTTGTACTGAATTGCTAGAATTGATCATTTGTCTTGACATCAGGTGATTACAGTGATACACCTCAGATACACACATGCACGTACACACACGCACAAACACGTACACAAACAGTGATGGCTTTTCTGCTTTATAGTAAGTTTTATTCATTGTAGGAAGTTACAAAATCCAGGTAATTGTGAATGTAACTGGTTTTTGGCATGAGTTGGCCTTCTTAGATTGCAGGCAGAAAGTAATTTTATAGTTTTCTGTTAATTTCAGTTTCTGAAACAAAATGCTAGGGTAATCCCATGTTTTTAAGATAATTTGTAGTAAGTACAAATTATTTTGGTCACTATTAGTTGCAATAATATGCTCCTTTCACTAAGTAAATCCCCACCTACCACATAAATGAAAATTCCAAATTCACATCTTTCTTGGAACGTTCTCATCCCCCATGTGCCAGCCTGCCTCTGAGTGGACAGTGAATCCTGAAGCAAAGGCAGAACTGGCTTCTGTCTTGCTCCGACTTCTCTCCTAGCTTGCAACTGCTTCTGACACCTACGCAATTAGGCTAGAACAGCAAGTTAAAAAAACAAGCTTTTCATTAGTTGAATCATTTGTAGTCTGGGATCTGGTTTGTGTGTGTGTCAAATGGACAATTCCTAGCTCTTTGTTTCATGGGAAAGGGACTGCTGTGATGTCTTTGATGTGGGTCTGCCTCCCCTGAGGGTGGTAGCTTAGCCCTCTCCTCAGCCCTTCTGGCAGAGCTACTTCTGTTGTGCTCTCTTTAGTCCTAGTAGTCATTGTTGTTAGTGTCGCTTATAAAGTGATTACAGACAGCCTGTCTGTTGCTGGGTCCACATTTGGACCCTGGAAAACATTGGCCATTGCCTACACATCAGTGGAAGTGCAACATTCATCTAGGTCAGCACTTCACAGTTGTTTCTTCCCAGACACGAGAAGTGCCAGCCACGTAACCTTTCCTCCTGCTTGCTAAAGGGTGAGTCAAATGGCAGTCCCTATGTCCTGCAAATTCTAGGATCACTGATCAAACTCTCTGAGTGATCTTGTTGAAATTCCCTTCACCTGAGGCAAAAGGAAGCCACCTCCATGTGCGGAGCACACGAAGTCTCTCAAAATATTTCCTTTTCCCTGCCTCCTAAACGTCAATCTCTTTCATGAGCCATATCTCAATGACAGGCCAGTTCTAGCTGAACTCGATTTGGACTACATCTTTTGCAAATCCTGGAAAAGAGGTGCAGCAACTCCTCAAGATGCAAGGTTTGTAGAATTGATTGGTTGTTCATTTTAGACTCTAGAGTCTCTTTGAAAACGCTGAACAAAGAAGACAATTCACATTTAGTATCCAATTGCATAAAGAATAACAAAAATTACTATCCAGGTACAAATGTTACTTATTTTTCATTCTTTTTCTCTCCTTTAATATAAACAGAATTGAATTCATATTGTAGGTAGGGTTATATATACCATTTGTTGTTACTCATTATTCTTTATGAGGTCATGAGCATTTCTCCACGTTGCTAAATACTCATCCAAAATGGAAATATTTAAATAATTGAATAGAATTATTGGATAGAGTTATTGAATAGAGTTATTGGATAACTTCTTTCTAGTTCATAATTGCTGGGCTGCATGGAGCCATCTCTTGACCTGTTAAAGAGAGTATGTCTACAATCTGAAGTTCCTGAGCGTTGACTGAGCTGGGCCAGTGACTGCTGACTCTCTGCATTGGCTCACTTGGGAAGGAAATGAGTGGTTTTTAAGTATAGTTGGGAGAATGAAATGGAGATGTAGGCTATTTCTCTTTTCTTCTGATACGAAACAAAATTACATTTTTGAGCCTCTTTAAAAGGTAGATACAGCCATGAGAGTAAGACGTGGGTAACAGATGTAGGCAGTCTGTCCCATAAAAACCTCCTCAATGATCTCTACTCTCTTGTTTTCTCCACTCATGTTAGAGTTCCAAGCTTAGAGCTGTATTAGATGACTTTGTGTTGAGGATAGTAGATTTTTCTTTTAACCTTTTTATAGCAGGCTCCCGTTACAGACCAAATAGGCTCATAGCCCAGTGCTCACAGAAATTAATACCTATGGTTCTGGCTTTTGAGAAAAGAAAAGCTGTATTGCAGAAACAGCCTGTTGAAAGGCTATTGTTGAGCTTAAATATATCTATCCAATTTGAAGTGTGGGGCACATTTTAAGATATCAGAGGGCAAGAGAAAGGATTTAGGAATGTTGACTTGGCAGGGTCTGATTGGAGGGCTTCAAATTTGACCACTTACAGTAAGGTATGTTGAAGCAGATTTTACCTCAGATCTTCTGGTCCAACAGACTCCTCACTTCTGAGAAAGTTCTGCCATTCTGGCTCCAGTTGTGCATCAATCTTCTTGGCTCTGAGAGGAAGAATCATTTATTCCAGGTGTTGTTAGAAGTCAAAGCTTTTGCTATTGTGCATGCCCAGGCTGTATAACACAGTTTTTGGGTCTGTCTTATTGAATGATAATTTTTTTTTTTGTATTTGAAAATAATCCAACCCTAAATCAACAGAGATCTCCAAATGAAGAAAGCAATACTTTTCCATCAATTTACCTTTGCACTGCTTCTTAGTAGACTTTGTTTCCTAGAATTCTTATAAATAAGCAGGAATATATTGTGACATACTGGCACTGTGAATTACCAATCATTATAGTTAAGAGCATATTCTAACAATAAAATGTAAAAATAATTGGTCGGGTAAAATAAATGTAGGATTTTTTTAAACTAAAGTAAAAAAATAAGACATTTGTTTTAGAGATTTATCTATGTTAAAAAACCAAGGGTGGCATATAATATAATTTTGGAATAATAACTTTTAAAATTTGAATGTGGCACTTAAAAATAGGTATGTTAGCAATATTTGAACTTTTGCCAATCTCCAATGATGATTTTGTAAGTCTAATTTTTTAAAATTAAGAAATTTACTTAAAAAGAATTTATTTTGTTTTATGTGGAAACTACAAGAATTTTTATTTGAATGCAAATTTAGCCTAGTAGATTGTCATTCAGTTGATTGTTGGAATACATTTGTGAGCTATGGGAGAGTTCTTGGATTAAAATAGAGATTCTATACTATTGACCTACTGACTGAACAATTATAACTCTTCGTTGGGGGTCAGAGATCTAACAAGAAGTGAACTTAACTTTATCAACAATTTAAAGCTAAGTTAAATATTAACAATTTATATTTTTCAAAATTCTTATTGTCTTGCTGACAAAAATTATAGAACTATCAGAATGAATTTTCCATGTCAGCCATAAGAATGACCTTCTGGCATATAAGACACTTCTTACCATGTAATGCAAGGAAAAAAAAAGTTCAGGTAAGGGGGTTCTCCCTAGAAACCACATAATCTCTGTCACTTCCACTTTCTGTTTTGAAGGAGTTCTCATATGTAAATTACCTGATATTTAGCAATGTGACATTGCCACATCTCATTGGTATGGGCGGTCAAGTCTACTCTGACAGGTGAACAAAGATTCTATACTAGCTAGTGACTGAATGAACTAAATTGCCTCTGTTGGGGGTCAGGGATTGAATGTTGACATAGAGATCTAACCAGAAGTGAAGTAACACAGACCTAAAGAAACCAAGAGACAGAGAGTAAAAATGGAAGCTGTGAAACCACAGAAACCATGGGTAAGCAAAAGCCACAAAGGGGAGCAATAGGGGAGAGAAAGTAGGTGATCACTGAAAGTGTCAGTAGACATAAAAGCAGAAACGGAATAATTGAATCACTGTAATGGGAACTATAGAGCTCTAAGCATTGAACACCTGCTGGTGAGGTGAGAACATGATTACTAGGTGGTTAGAACTGAATACAACCTGAGAAGAATTATAACTTCATTACACATGAAGCCATGCAGCCATTGAGGCTTTACAGTTCTTTCTTACTTCTCTGGTGGTGCAGAGGTGGCTTTAAAACAATGCCTCATTAGCTGCATTTATGTACACATATCTCTTTTACTCAGAACCCATCTGACAATTCTAACACAAATGGCTAGAATGCTATTGAGTAGTCGTTTTTTATTTCATGATAAAGAATTGTAATTATACTCATTCATTCTTGATTATAACAAGTCAGAACATTTGTGTTGTTTCAATTGTTTTATTATTATTCTGTCTTGTGAAAATTTTTATATTTCTTTCATAGATGGGATAATAGAGATAGAGAAGTCAAATACCTTGCCCAAATAGCTCTGACAAGTAAATGGAGAATAAGGATAAATGTGTGAATATAAGTGCATATGATTTTTGCAAAAAATGAGAACATACCCCACAATTTGTTCCATAAATTGCTATTTTACCAATTATGTTAGATAGTTATTCCTCCGTGTAAGCATACATATTTCTTCCTCAATCTTGTTAACTATTGAATAGTATTTCATAGCATTGAAACGCTGGAATTTGTTTAATCATTTCTCTACTTATGGCTTATTTATTTCCAGTTTTTTATTCCTAGAAATGTAGCAAGATATCAAGTGATGGCTTATTTATTTGCAGTTTTTCATTCATGGAAATGTAGCATGATATCAAGTGAGACTTTTCTCATGCCTGGATGCAAATCTGAGGACAACAGAGCTAAGTAAGTCACAATCTATGGAAAACTACAGAAATCTGGGACTAGTCTTCCTCTTAAAATGATTTCCTCTTAAAATGATTTAGAGGTGGCCCAATCTTTCCTTAGAATGAGTACTAAATAGGAGGAGAAAGAAAGAATATTGTAATGTGAGTTGTCAGCCTGCCAGAGAATACCGAAACTTTTCCTTCATAAATTGGGAGTATGCTTGTATGCTTCTGCTTACCCATGATTTCTGTGATTTCACACCTTCCATTTCGCCCCCTCTCTTTGGTGTCTTTGAATCAGCATTAGTTCACTTGCTGTTAGATCTCTATGCCAACATTCAATCCAAGTTGAGTAAGAAAAGTCCAACATTTGATCCACGTTGAGGGAAAAAAACGTCCAAAAGTCCAGATTGATTCTCTGAATTTGAAGATGCCTGAGGAAGGGAAAATCAGCATCCCATTCACAGATATACATCTGCAAATGTTCAGGTCCTCAAGCCCACTCCTTGCCAGCATCCCCCTTCTTTATAAACCAGGATGGTAAAAAGAGTTTGCCCTGACAAGCATACTTGGCAACAGTGGTTGATTTAAAGATTCCAATGGCCATCCAGGATAAGAAAGAAAATAACCAATAAGGAGGGATGAGTAAATGCCAATAAAATACAAATATTTTATCAATATTTTGTCTTTTTCAATAGTTTACCCTGCTACATTACCAGAAAAGAGGACTGTAAAGGGGACTTAAAGAGTAGTTCATTCCCCTCCACCATCTGAGTACCTCAAGCCGTACTTTAACCTGTTCTGAGAGAGGGAAGGACATAGTCTTATAATTGGATTTGAGATATTGACATTCAGTGTGATAATATAACCCCTCATTCAGATAATCTTTCCCACTGAGAGCAACTACAAACTCCAGATAAAACAAGACAAAAACAGCTACCTAAGTGTTCAGTGATTCAGTGGAGTCAAACTTAGAAAAATGACAAAAAACAAGTTGTCAGTTTCCCATTTTCTTGTAGTTTTTCCCTGCAGGCTGCCCACGGACGCAGAGCAGCTCATCACAGACAACTAATTTTGATAAAAACCTCACTTACTTTCTGATATAGAAAAAAGGAAAAGGATCCAGGACAACCATGGCCAGCTGTCAGAAAGTGAGAGGAATTCTCGCAGGGGAGAAAAAATGGAGGATGAGATCCCATGATTCTGGGTATGCACACAATCTCCGATTGATCCATAAACCACGTCAGTGGGGATGAACTCAAATCACTTCAGCAAAGGCTTAAGTAATAGGATGGAGATTTGAACAAGCATCCACAGAAGATGAGACTGAGCTAACAGAATAACTTGAAAAGATGAATTATTAGCTAAAACAAAAGCATCAATATAGAGGAATATAAAAGATCCTGGATTGAACACAACATACTATCCACAGTGCCATAGTCCAAAATTATCAACATTAAAACAAAATGAAAGCATATGTCATGACAAAGATTTGGAAACAAGTGTTTATAGCCCTTTCATGTACAATAACAAAAAATTAGAGATAACCCAAATATCTATCAACATGTGAACATAAAATCAAAGAATATTCAATAGAATGCTGAAAAAGTCTGACTGTGCCAAGTGTTGGTAAAGATGTAGAGCAACTGGAACTCTTGTATACGGCTGGTGGGAATGTAAAAGAGCCCAGCTACTTTGGAAAACAGCTTGGCAATTTTATGAAAATTTAAACATATGCTTATTATATGTTTATATGAAACCCAGGCATTCCACTACTAGGAATTTATCCAAGAGAGATGAAGTCATATATCCCCATCAATATTTGTAGATAAATGTTTACAGCTACATTATTTGTAAAAGCTCAGAACTGGAAATAACCCAAACATCGATCCACAAATAAATGTATCAAAACGTTTTCCATAGAATGAAATACTACTTGGCAATAAAAAATGAATTATCAACACATGTTGAATCACAAAATAATTATGCTAAATGAAATAAGTCAGACACAGAAAGCACACATGATATATGATTGCATTTACAAGAATTTCTAGAAAATGCAATCTAACCTGTGTAGATCAGTAATTGGCTGGGGATGGGAGTGATGGGAAGATCAGTTTGATTGCAAAGAAAAACGTGGAAAATTTGGGGGAATGAAAGAAGTGTACACTGTCTTGATTGCAGTTACTTCACAAGTGTATCACATATTCCAAAACTTACCCACTTATGTGCTTGACATATATAGTTTATTGTACATAAAATATAGTTCAATCGAGTAATATAAAAATATAGATTTGAGATAAAATTTAAACTGTAACTGGAAAGTTCTGGACATGTCCTGGTTGTAATGAAAGGGACTGCTACTCAGCTGGCAAAAGAAATTCAGTGCAGTGTGATTAGAAGTAGTAAAGAAAAATAATACTGTTTGATGATAGTAGCCCACAAATTTCAAACTGCTACATGCCCTAGATATCCAAATAATTCATTCATGACCTTTATTCATTTTGTATCTTGATAAATACTGCCAAATAGCCCTTCCAAACAGTTAAACTAATTTTAAAGTCTGACAAGAAATGCTTGTGACTGCTCATTTCCCCCTCTGCATCATCATTAATACTAAATAGCTACAATCTCTTTATGGAGTGAGATGATCAATGAAAACCTTAAAATAAAATGCAATGCAGGAGCCAAAAGGACTAGAGAAATCCAAAACTTGGGAAAGGTCCTAAGAGAGGGAGGAAAAGTGGGGGAGAGACGCTTTCCAAAGGGTCAGTGTGAATAATGTCAAATGCTGTAGAGAAGTCAAAGTTTCTATTTTATTTAAGAACATGTAAGCTGTCAATGGTTTAGTTGAAAGCAATTTCAGGTTATCATGGTGAGAACAGAAAGTGATTATCATTGCTGAGGGGTAAATGAGGTGAATGAGAGAAAACATAATCAGTTTTACTGTTTTTTGTTTCTGGAGGATTTTTTTTTAAAAGAATTTTACTGTGAAGGGAGAAGATAGTCACTATAGCATAAACGTTATTTTTTTGTTTATTTAAATTTTTGGAAGTGGTTTTACTTTGCATATGACAGATACTTGAGTATGTTACAACATTCACTAGAAACTTAATGGCAAGGTCATTTTCGTGAGAGGCAATAAGAGAAATTTGATATAATGAGATTCCAAGTGAATGAGATTCAATATGTATAATATATGTATAATGTTAGGATAAATGCTGTGGCTATTTTGGTATTTGAGAGGAAGGCAAGCATTTATGTAAATGCAATAAATTCTGTAAATCTAGAATTCTGATGCTCCTTATGAATGGATCTTTTCTCTGAGAATTATCAGGCTATTGTAGGTGCTCGATATTGTGAGGTTGAAAAAAATGATTCTTGAGAATGGGACAAAGAAACAATTTGGCTTGGCAAGTATGAAAATTCAGCTCAGCACTGCTAGGGGTTTCAATAATCAGATAGGATATCCCCAGTCCAGGTATCTGGAAATAACCACAGGGTTTATCTAATTCCTTCTAAAGATACAGTAGGATTTATTTTCTTTTAATCTGCACTAAGGAATACAAAACATTTAAATGTAATGACATGGCAAATGTATGCCATCTATACTCATAAGTACAAACAAAATATACTTTATTTTATTTCCCATGATGGAGCTAAACTTTTCCTTCACATATTCCATTTTATCTACTAGGACAAATAAGAGAAAAATATTTTAAATTTGCCAATTACTGGTATCAGAGTCTTGAGTGT